GAAAAAATATTCTTTAAAAAATCCACGCCTTAATAATCCCTTGAAAAAATATTCTTTAAAAAATCCACGCCTTAATAATCCCTTGAAAAAATATTCTTTAAAAAGCCACGCCTTAATAATCCCTTGAAAAAATATTCTTTAAAAAATCCACGCCTTAATAATTCCTTTGAAAAAATATTCTTTAAAAAATCCACGCCTTAATAATAATAATAATCCCTGAAAAAATTTTCCTACAAAAACCACTCCTTGTATTCTTTAAAAAATCTACTTTGAAAGTCCTTGTAAAATGTTCCATAGCTAACCATTCGTATTCCTTAAAAACTTCCTTTAACATTGTCGTTTTAAATTGGTCATTTAAATTTACCTTACCTCTGTCCAAGGAGTACAACCAATGTCCGAACATGTTTTAATCGCAATGCTTATTCCCACATGCGTCTTCATTTATGATGGTCTCCATTGGACATCACTCGCCTTCATCATGGTGGTTTAGTGCAAAGTTTGCAGAAATAACTCAAACCTCTCACATACACCCAAATGGCCATGTAACACGTTTCCCCAACTTTTCCCCCTCCCGGAGAAAGACTGTAATTGGGCTAATTTCCATTATCTGTGAGAGTTTTCGCCGGAGCATGAGGAGGTGGAAGCAGACAAGTTGAACTTTAAGTATCACAGTGGCAATCTCCGAGAAACTGTAACAGTTAACTGCATTTCGAAATTTCTATACAGTGTCCAGTTAGGAATGGTTTTTCGTTTTAGTTCTTTTTTTGGTTTGCCATTCCTTTTTTTGTTTTTGTCGGATGATAGTTTCTGTGCTGACAATTGTGCCACTCAGTTAAGGACACACTGGCATACTCACACTCACACACATGGACATTTGGTTACTGAGTGCACGTATAAGTGAAATGACACGAATAACATTAGCAGACACAATTTTGTGGTTCCTGAGGTCACACTAAGGACACAGAAGATGGAAAAGACTGAAGAAAAACTTCGTAACAGGCTTTGGACATGTCCTCCACATACAGCCAATGGTTGGTGCTCTCATCCATGACATACGAAATGGAAACAACCATTCAAAAGCAAACCTAACGACCTGGTCAACCTCAAGTTGAGATAATATTCAAGATTTTTGTTATTGGCACTGGGGATTTGTTAGCCATTTTCTTTATTTTCCTATGCAGATGTTCAGGGGTTTTTTTTCGGTAGGATATGTTTGGTATGGCAGGATAGGTCTTCGGAGAGACTTTTTCATCTTTTTAAACTTGTGGCTTTTGCCAGTCAGTTTTTGCAATGTGGTTGCCCAATTTGTGGTTCCATTGTTATTCAATATTTCGAAAATTACCATGCAGCATTGGTGGTTCGGGAGAATGTGTGTGGTCCAAGAATTATTTATTTTGTTTCATATACAAAAGGTAGGAGTGGGGTTTAAGAAGGATGAAATCGGTAGTCCTCGAAAAACAATTGTTTAAAAAAATACAGGCTGAATGTTCTTTAAACAACTTTTTTGTTTTTTTTTTTTTTTTAATTTACGCCTTGTATGGCCCTTGAACAAATATTCTTAAAAAAAATCCACGCCATGTATACTTACTTACTCACTTAGCTGTCTTGTTACAGAACGGTCGTTTTATAAACCGAGCTTAAAAAAGATTTTCAAGCACGTCGGTCTTGTGCGCATCTTCACCAATTCAAAAAAACTACGTTCCAAGATGTTGTTTTCTCTTTGGTCTTTCCATCGTATTCGTGGTCTTCCCTTTCTACAGGGACCATCAGTAGGCTCGCTTTTATATGCCTTTTGACCTGGGGCATTCTCATTCATTCGCACAACATAGCCTAGCCACCGTAGTCGCTGCAGCTCAATGCGACTGACTCTGACTATGTTCATGACGCAGGTCGGCCCGTAGATCTTCCGAGATATTTTCTTCCAAACGCCCCAAGAGCTGCCTCATCTGCTTGCGCAAGTACCCATGCTTCAGATCCATATATCAGCACGAGTAGTCGGTGGTGGTCTTGTTTCTAAACTGCGTACTTAGACCATAGTAGCATCTGTTGGCCATCACAATCCTTCTCTAATTTTCAAAACTCATGTGATTCGTTTTATTTATGGCGGTACCAAAGTATATAAAATCTTTAACTACCTCGAAGCTGTAGTTCTCAAGTTCCACAGTTGGTCCGAGTCTACTGGACATGGCTTTAAATACCACAGGACGGATAGTGCTGTCGAATGCGGTTTTATAGTCGAAGAGTAGGTGGTATGTATCAGTTTTTTTTTCGTGGGTCTTCTCCAGGTCTACTCCTTTTTTGTGCACGGGACACAGAAAGCTGAGGTTCCAATCATTGGCCATGCATTCCTCTAGCCAAATTGTACTAATCAGCTGGTGCATGCTCCTGACCAGCATCTGACCACCAGTCTTGAATAATTCGGCTGGTAACCCATCGGCTCCTGCTGCTTTATTGTTCTTCGGCCGATTAATTGCTACTCTTACTTCATGTTGCTTAGGTGGTATACACTCAATACCGTCATCTATTATTGGTTCTGGGGTATCCTCTTCACCTCTACTATTTGATACCAGAAGTTCTTCAAAATGCTCCTTCCAAATCCTCAACACGCTGTCTGAACTGTCACCAGGTTTCCTTCTTCATATATACAGGAAGATGTGACTGCACCATAGCCTTCGGTTTGGTGTTTTACTCATTGGTAATATTTCCGGACTTCATTCTGACTCCTGTTCATCTCGATTTGCTCACGCTCGCGTCTTTTTTGTTCTTTCTCCTTTTTCTGAAAATACTTTTCTCTTCTCTCCTTTTCTCCCGATAACTCTCCATCACATTACGTGTTGCTACTGTCTGCAGGGTTGCCCTATACGCTGCGTTCTTCACATCAGTAGCATTACGACACTCCTGATCGTACCATAGGTTTCTTTGTGGTTTTTTTGGTCCCCAAATGTTGCTTTTGCTGCAGTTTGTAGGGAGTGGGCACTTCTTTGCCATTGTGCTTCTATACTATTATCGGGACAAGAAGTGCTTTCGTCAAGCTGGTGGGTAAGTTGAGCGGAGTAGGCCTCGGCTACCTGTTGTGTTTACAGCTTTTCGACGTCGAGTTTCCGTGTTGTGTTAGGTCGCACTTTTGCTGCAACATTAAGACGAGTGCGAACTTTGGCTGCTACAAGGTAGTGGTCCGAATCGATATTCGCTCCTCTGATCGATCGAACGTCTTATACACTGAATGAATGCCTTCCGTCTATCGCAACATGATTGTATATCGCGATGCTTGCATCTGTTTTATGCCGCCGCGAAGCCAATCAATCTCATGCCGTTGTGGGATGTTTCTGCATGGAGGCTGCATTTTCGGACGGTGAGGCCAAAGATATGTTCCCTTTCGATTTTTGCATTAAAATCTCCTAGCAGAATTTTAATGTCATGACCAGGGGTATGGTATCTATCATCCTCACGCCATGTGTGGTCCTTGAAATTGTTTTACTTAAAAAATCCACGTCTTGAAACGTCTTTGGCAATTTTTTCTTTAAAAAATCCACGCCCTTGAAAATATTCTTTAACAAATACACGTCCTTGAAAATATTCTTTAAAAAATCAACGCCTCTATAGTGGCGTGGATTTTTTCCTTTCCCACGTCCTCTATAGTCCTTAAAATAAATATTCTTTAAAAAATCCACGCCTCTATAGTCCTTAAAAGAAATATTCTTTAAAAAAGGCACGCCTCTAATAGTCCTTGAAAAAATATTCTTTAAAAAATCCACGCCTCTAATAGTCACTGGAAAAATACTCTAAAAAATCCACGCCTTGTATGGTCCTTGAAAAAATATTCTTCAAAAAACCCTTGGTATCCTGAATAATCCTGCATCGTATTATTTTCACGTTTCTCTTTCCTCTTCGTTTCCCCCTTTCTAAAGCTATCACTTTCCTCTTTGACACTTTGTTGTCACCTGCTTTCTCATTTGATTCCATAGCAATCAAATTAAAATCGTCATCCCGTTCAAACCCTTAAATGTGATAACCAACAACTTAATTGTGTGTAAACGATATCGGAACATTTAGAGAGGACCTCTCCCAGTGTTGGAAATGGATACAGAGATAATTAAGAAAATCGTAGCAATCAATGGACAACAAATGAATGAAATCGAAATCATCGAGTGCAATACAATTCCAAGGAGCGTCTTAGCTTTGGTGCTGGGTAGAGGTCTACCCGACTACCCGACTGCCTTGCTGGATGGCTAGCTATTTGATTATCCGGCAATGCCTAGAGCTGTCATTCAGAGTCTAATTTAATTACAACATTTCTCATCTTCTGGCAGGTTGGGGCAAACAGCCAGCCATTGCAATAGATGTGCGGAATAAACTCATCTTAAGTATCTAATTGCCGATTGAATGAGGGTGGTGGGGGGTTTGAGTGGCAGGAAATGGAAATTCTTGAGCCAGGGGTGGGGGGAAAGACGTGGCCATAGGAATATTAAAATAATTTACTGTTCATTTAACAAATTGCCTTTATTTATTTTCTATGCTACTACTGCGGTTCCTACTTCCTATTTTTCCCCTAACTCCTCCATAGCCTTTATTCATGGGTCCATGGATTGTGGTAATTGTTGTTGTGTTTGGGGGTTTTCACCCCACCAAAGGCGTTCAAGTGTAGGACGCATATTGAAATGTAATTAAAATAAATGAACACGTATTAGTACAAGAAAACTCTATTAATTATAGCAGCCGAAAAAAAGGACGACAATAACTGCCATTTGGACCACTACTTACCAGCTTCTTAACAAATTAATCTTTCGTTTTGTTTTCCTATTTCATTTTCTCCTTTTTCCGGTTTTTGTAAAATATAGCAGCAACAACTGCAAAAAAAATAGACGCAGAAAGAAAATTAAATTAAACTAATTTTTCAATTTTCTTTTCTCTCTTTCTCTTCTCATTTCCGGATATCCTGTTTCGTGCCCTTCCCAGCAATTCTAAGCACGCTATGCAAAGAATTCCTCCAGTTCAATGTCTCTGCCATTTTATATATGATGAATAACGAACAATTCGGCCATAGTACCGCATCGGCACAATATTTCCTACAGCTAGCCGGCTATTTGGGTATACCCGTCATCTCATGGAATGCCGACAATTCGGGCCTGGAACGCCGTGCCTCGCAGTCAACACTTCAACTTCAGTTAGCTCCAAGTATAGAACATCAAAGTGCCGCTATGTTGAGCATATTAGAACGTTACAAATGGCATCAGTTTTCGGTTGTCACCTCGCAGATTGCCGGCCATGATGACTTCGTGCAAGCGGTACGGGAGCGAGTTGCCGAAATGCAAGATCATTTCAAATTTACGATACTCAATGCAATCGTTGTAACGCGTACTAGTGACTTGATGGAACTTGTTAATAGCGAGGCAAGAGTTATGCTCCTCTATGCCACGCAAAGTGAAGCAATCACTATTCTTAGAGCTGCTGAAGAGCTGAAGTTAACGGGAGAGAATTATGTGTGGGTGGTGAGTCAATCGGTGATTGAGAAGAAGGATGCGCATGCCCAGTTTCCGGTGGGTATGTTGGGTGTGCATTTTGATACGAGCAGTGCAGCGTTAATGAATGAAATATCGAATGCCATTAAAATTTATGGTTATGGTGTGGAGGCGTATGTCTCGGATCCAGCTAATCAGGGGAAGAAGTTGAATACTCAGGCTCTGTCGTGTGAAGATGATGGTCGTGGCCGGTGGGATAATGGAGAATTGTAAGTATTGCAAATTGTAAATTTAATTTAAATATAAAAATTGCGCTCAAATCCAACACCATGGGATGTACATGTCATGAGATTATGTAGTAAATGTAAAAAACGTCATATTTTACTAAAGAAAAGGTACCATAACCTCAAAAATGCCGAAAATATGTCGAAAATCTTAAAATATCCCTTTTCGATTATAAATAAAAGGTGCACATAAAAATTAGATTTTTTACTTTTAACACTCAAAAAACTTATATGTCAAAAATGTCACATTTTTGGTATAAAACGTTGTAAACCCCAAAAATGTAAAATTTGGTTGGAAAATAAATATTAGATAATTTGTAAAATAATTGTAGACTCGCAATCTTCAAAACAATTTCAGTGTCTAAAATGTCACAAGCTTGTATGAAACGTCTAAAATGTATTAAAGTTTTGTATAATAGTTTAGAAAAGTACATAGGTACATAAAATTTGGACTTAAAAATTAGATTTTGACTTCCAACACAAAAAAAAGTCCTATGTCAAAAATGTCACATTTTTTGTATAAAACATTGTAAACTACAAAAATTAAAAAATTGTATTGGAAAATATATTTTAGATAATTTGAGAAATAATTATAGACTTGCAATCTTCAAAAACATGTCGGTGTCAAAAACGTCACATGCTTGTATAAAACGTAAAAAATGTATTAAAGTTTTAAAAAATAGGTTTTGAATGCAAGTTAAATAAAAAATAAATTAATAGAAAGCTCCAGAATTAAAATTTTTGAAACAAATTTAAATGTCGAAAAAGTCACGTTTTTGTATAAAATGTCTAAAATCTGGACATTCTGAGAAATATATTTTGTATTGAAATATATGTACATAAAAATTATGATAGCATAAATTAAAATATTCAATTTTATTCAATTTTCAACTCCGGTTGTTCCATAAGCCAAGCGCTTCTGTCTGGTGCGCAACTCTTTCAATTTGAAAGACAATATTCCGAAATGTTCTCGTCCACTTCATCTTTCAATCTAATTCGTGACCTTCCACTGGATAGCACTTTATATGCGAAGGGAAGGAAACTTATTCCTCTATAGTTGGAACATAACGTCTTGTCTCCTTTTTTATGCTGAGGTTCCAATCTTTGGGCATGCGTTCCTGTAGCCAAATTTTACTAATCAGTTGGTGCATGCTCCTGACCAGCATCTGACCACCAGTCTGGAATAATTCGGCTGGTAATTCATCGGCTTCTGCTGCTTTATTGTTCTTGAGCCGATTGATTGCTATTCTGACCTCATCTTGACTAGGTGGTATACACTCTATACCTTTACATCTTATTGCTTCTGGGGTATCTTCTTCACCGTATTTGATACCAGAATTTTGCAAAATGCTCCTTTCAAATCCTCAACACGCTGTCTGTATCTGTCACTAGGTTTCCTTCTTCATCTTCACAGGAAGATGTGCTTGCACCAAAGCCTTCGATTTGGTGTTTTACTCGTTAGTAAAATTTTCGGACTTCATTCTGACTCTCGATATGCTCACACTCACGTTTTTCTTGTTCTTCTTTTTTCTGAAAATACGTTTCTCCTCTCTCCTTTACTCCCGATAATTTTCCATCTCATTACGTGTTTCTACTGTCTGCAGGGTCGTCCTATACGTTTTTCACATCAGTAGCATTTCGACACTCCTGATCGTACCACGGATTTCTTGATGGTGGTCTTGGGTACCTAATTGTTGCTTTTGCAGCAGTTTGTGGGGAGTGAGCAATTCTTCGCCATTGTGTTTCTATACTATTATCAGGACTAGAAGTGCTTTCGTCAAGCAAGTTAAGCGGAGTAGATCTCTGCTATCTATTGTGTTTGCAGCTTTTCGGCTTTGAGTTTCCGTGTTATATTAGACCGCACATTGCTGCTACATTAAGACGAGTGCGAACCTTGGCTGCTACAAGGTAATGGTCCGAATCGATATTCGCCCCTCGGATCGATCGAACGTCTAAAACACTGATTAAATGCCTCCTGTCTATCACAACTTGATCGATTTGATTTCTCGTTGTTCGATCGGGAGAAATCCATGTGGCCTTGTGTATATCGAGATGCTTGAACAACTTTTTGCTGCCGCGAAGTTAATCAACCTATGCGGATTATAGCTTTCGCTCATCTACTGGAGTAATCATGATTTACTTACGCCAGTCCCTTTCCATCGCATTTCCAGTAAGGCAATAATATCAGCGTTGTACTTCTTCAGTAATTCCGCCAAAGCGAAAACTGCGCCTGTTCTGTATAATGTGCGCACATTTCAAGGGCATATTCACAGATCGTGGTTCTTTATACGTTTGCGGGGATCGTCAACATTAGGGGGTATGGTTTTCTTTTTCATAGCTTTTTTCATAGTAATTTGTGTTTTCCAAGTGTGGGCAACTAACCCGACGTCTCAAACCATTTTTTTATAGGTCTCATGGATCAACTCGCGGCACTCACTCGCTCACTATTTTAACGGATGATGAAAGTAGCTACCCCAGATGACACCGCAGGGAGGTCATTGATGAGATGAAATAGGGACCCATATAAGCCTGGGCTTTGCCATGTTAAAGCCAATCAGAGCCGTTGCTTAGCATCTATCATCCCAACTCCACCGCAAAAGTTCGAAAACTTTACTTTTTTAAACTTTACACATACACTTCCCCTCAGAAGTTATCTCCTGTTCTGCTTCTCACGTGAATTTAAGTTATTCAGATGTTTGAAAACTTAAATTCACGTGAGAAGCAGAGTAGGAGGTAACTTCTGAGGGGAAGTGTACATGTAAAGTGTAAAAATCCAATGCCCAAGAGTGACTTGTTCAAAACTTTGGACTTAGTTGTAGTATGCTTAATTGTCTCGGATCCAAGTATTTCAATGCATTTTATTGGTCTTTTATAACCATCAACGAAAATTTCCGAACAAAAACTAATAGTTCTGAGAATGCGTATAATCTGTTATCAAATAATGGGTGAAAGTTATGCTTCGAATGGAAGTGTCTGGCACCAAAAATAGTATACTTTTTAAAAAATCGTAAAAATTATATTGGGCAATAAACACGCAAAGTGGTATCCGGTAAAATCACAAAAATATGAAAAATTTTTAAAACTTGGTACCAAAAAACGTAGTCCTAAAATGTTATTGATTAATATATTATTTGTATATGTTATTGTCTTTTTATAATCCGCTCCCAATACAGCTAGGCATTTATGTAACATGATTTTAAATATGCACCACCTAAAAAATCGTTTATTTAATTTTTATTTTCAGATTTTTCAAATATCTACGTAATGTCTCCATAGAAGGCGATTTAAATAAACCCAACATTGAATTCACAGCTGATGGTGATCTAAAATCGGCAGAATTGAAAATTATGAATTTAAGACCAAGTGCAAATAATAAAAATTTAGTATGGGAAGAGGTTAGTAAGAAACCGAAAACTCCATTATAAATTCCCAGATATAAGACCTTCTTCAATTGTCCCTTTTTGTATATTTTCTTCTTACAGATCGGCGTCTGGAAATCATGGGAAGCCCAGAAACTAGATATACGTGATATCGCCTGGCCGGGTAATTCACATGCTCCACCACAGGGTGTACCCGAAAAATTCCATTTAAAAATCACATTTCTTGAAGAAGCACCCTATATCAATTTATCACCCGCCGACCCCGTTAGCGGTAAATGTCTAATGGATCGTGGCGTTCTCTGCCGTGTGGCCGCTGATCATGAAATGGCCGATATCGATGTCGGTCAAGCGCATCGTAACGAATCATTCTATCAGTGCTGCAGCGGGTTCTGTATCGATCTATTGGAGAAATTTGCCGAAGAATTGGGTTTTACATACGAACTTGTACGGGTCGAAGATGGTAAATGGGGTACCCTCGAGAATGGTAAATGGAATGGTGTCATTGCTGATTTGGTTAATCGCAAAACCGATATGGTCCTAACATCACTCATGATCAATACGGAACGTGAGGCGGTGGTAGACTTCAGTGAGCCCTTTATGGAGACGGGAATTGCTATAGTGGTGGCGAAACGTACGGGTATTATATCGCCAACAGCTTTTTTAGAACCTTTTGATACGGCCTCATGGATGCTGGTGGGCATTGTCGCGATACAAGCGGCCACATTCATGATCTTCCTCTTCGAATGGCTCTCACCAAGTGGCTATGATATGAAATTGTATTTGCAAAATACCAACGTTACACCCTATAGATTTTCGCTGTTCCGAACGTATTGGTTGGTGTGGGCGGTGCTGTTCCAGGCTGCCGTACACGTGGATTCGCCGCGTGGTTTTACCTCAAGATTTATGACAAATGTATGGGCTCTGTTTGCGGTGGTATTTTTGGCCATCTATACTGCCAACTTGGCTGCCTTCATGATAACGAGGTAAAGTATTTTTTGGTTCGCCGAACACACACACACACATACATATGTATACTATTATCTGTAGAATTGTTGAAAAGGCTTTATTGAATATGTATTTGTTTTTCTTCCTTTTAATTTTTTTCCATATAGAGAGGAGTTCCATGAATTCACTGGCCTAAACGACAGCCGTTTGGTTCATCCATATTCACACAAGCCATCCTTTAAATATGGCACAATACCATACAGCCACACAGATTCCACCATCAATAAATACTACAAGGAAATGCACTACTACATGAGACAGTAAGTTTGTCATTCGGGGGTTTTTTCACCTCCAGAAAAAATATTTATTTTCTGTTTTAGAAAGCAAAAAAACAGGGTTTAGTTAAGTGGAGTATAGAACATAAATAAGTTTGGCAGGAAAGGGAAAAAAGAAAATTTGAAAAAGATTTAAATCCTTAACTAAAAAATCCTTGGAAAAATTTAAGCAATTTTCTCTTCGACTAGCATAGCTTTGGGCGTGGATTTTTTAAACATTTTTTTATTCTAGCCCAGCATAGCTTTAGGCGTGGATTTTTTAAACATTTTTTATTCTAGCCGAGCATAGCTTTAGGCGTGGATTTTTTACACATTTTTTATTCTAGCCTAGCATAGCTTTAGGCGTGGATTTTTTTAACATTTTTTATTCTAGCCTAGCATAGCTTTAGGCGTGGATTTTTTAAACATTTTTTATTCTAGCCGAGCATAGCTTTAGGCATGGATTTTTTACACATTTTTTATTCTAGCCTAGCATAGCTTTAGGCGTGGATTTTTTTAACATTTTTTATTCTAGCCTAGCATAGCTTTAGGCGTGGATTTTTTAAACATTTTTTATTCTAGCCCAGCATAGCTTTAGGCGTGGATTTTTTAAACATTTTTTATTCTAGCCCAGCATAGCTTTAGGCGTAGATTTTTTAAACATTTTTTATTCTAGCCTAGCATAGCTTTATGCGTGGATTTTTAAACATTTCTTTTCACAGACTAGCATAGCTTTAGACGTGTTTTTTAACGTTTTTTCTCCCAGATTAGCATAGCTTTAGGCGTGGATTTTTTAAACATTTCTTTTCACAGACTAGCATAGCTTTAGACGTGTTTTTTAAACATTTTTTTCTCCCAGATTAGCATAGCTTTATGCGTGGATTTTTTAAACATTTTTTATTCTAGCCTAGCATAGCTCTAGGCGTGAATTTTTTAAGTCGGTTTTCTCCTAGACTAGCATAGCTTTAGGCGTGGATTTTTTAAGTCGGTTTTCTCCTAGACTAGCATAGCTTTATGCGTGGATTTTTTAAGTCGGGTTTCTCCTGGACTAGCAAAGCTTTAGGCGTGGATTTTTTTAAGTCGGGTTTTTCCTGGACTCGATAGCAAAGCTTTAGGCGTGGATTTTTTTAAAGAATATTTCCAGAAGCCATAGCAAAGCTTTAGGCGTGGATTTTTTTAAAGAATATTTCCAGAAGCCATAGCAAAGCTTTAGGCGTGGATTTTTTTTAAGTCGGGTTTCTCCAAGACTATCACAGCTTTAGGCATGGATTTTTTTAAGTCGTTTTTTAAGAATATTTTGTAATTATTTTTCTTTAATTCCAGATACAACAAATCCAGCGTAGCCGATGGCGTGGCTGCTGTATTGAATGGCAACCTGGATGCTTTCATCTATGATGGCACAGTCCTGGACTATTTGGTGGCACAGGATGAGGATTGTCGCCTAATGACTGTGGGCAGCTGGTATGCCATGACAGGTAAACTAAAACCCATACCTCTTTTTCAATACCCTTTTTAATTTCTCCTCCTCTTTTTTCTGTGCTTCTCTCCCTCCACCCCCTAGGCTATGGTCTGGCCTTCAGTCGCAACTCAAAATACGTCCAAATGTTCAATAAACGTTTATTGGAATTTCGAGCGAACGGTGATCTGGAACGTTTGCGACGCTATTGGATGACGGGGACATGTCGACCGGGTAAACAAGAGCATAAATCATCTGATCCCCTGGCCTTGGAACAATTCTTGTCAGCATTTTTGTTATTGATGGCGGGTATTTTGTTGGCAGCTTTATTGCTGCTGCTCGAACATGTCTACTTTAAGTATATACGAAAGAGGATAGCGAAAAAGGATGGTGGGCATTGTTGTGCTTTAATTTCACTGTCAATGGGTAAATCGTTGACATTTCGTGGTGCCGTCTATGAGGCAACGGAAATCCTTAAAAAACATCGTTGTAATGATCCAATATGTGATACGCATCTATGGAAGGTGAAACATGAATTGGATATGACAAGGCTGCGGGTGCGTCAACTGGAAAAGGTGATGGACAAGCATGGTATTAAGCCGCCACAATTAAGGTAGGGAAAAATGTGAAATTAAATGATTTTTTTTAATGTCCCCCTAATTTGTATTTTGTTCCTCCTTTTGCAGACTTGCCTCCTCATCGGATTTACTGAACCATCATCATCTGAAAGAACGACCCCCCTTGATGGGGAATTTGAGTTTAGCAGCCAGTGCCCAAGATTTATACAGGTGGTAAGTTTGTCGTTTTTCCAACCCTACCCCCACACAGTCACAACAGCAACACACAAATACATACAAATAAATTTTGTAGCTCCACCAAAAACCATAGTCAAACAGCATGCCAACCAAATAACCAGTCAACCAACCAAAGAACCAACCAGTTAATCCACATTCCCACACCACCAGTACCACCACAACCTCTCTTAACAATACCAACAATAATTAAGTACACCACCCAGTTAATTAACGGATCCAAAAACCAATTCCGCCAACCATATAAAATATCCTCTTGGAGTTATTTAGAATGCCAACCACAACAACAACAATAAAAATATTCCACGTAGCCATAGCTTCTACTTCTAACCCACCTCCCAGCATTTTTTTCTCTCCATGCTCTTTAAATTGTTGTAAATAAATATCCAGCACTCTTCACGTCCAACACCCCTCCCTGCCTCCCTCCTTTAGCATGTTTTAACGTTTTTCTCTCGTTTTCAATTATAATAATTATTTAGATTGTATAACCGCAATCTTTTTAATTCGTTTTTAATTAACAGTTGAAACAAAAAGAACAACAACAGCATTTTGTGTAATTTTTAATTGTTTTCCAATTTCCGTTTCCTCTACGTCGTTCATATATATACGGAGGATTTTTAATTCGAACAAAACCAAAAACAAAAGAGTGGTAAAATTTCAACACATTTAAGTTATTAACACAAAAAACATCACACTTGACAAACAAAGCCTAGAATTGTTCAAATATTTGCCATAATTTTGAAAGATTTTCAGATCCAATAAAAATTGCCATAAACTAAAAGATTTTTTAAACATTTTTTCTCCTAACTTTAGGCGTATATTTTTTTCTCCCAGACTAGCACAGTTTTAGGTGTGGATTTTTTAAACATTTCTTCTCCTAACCTAGCACAGTTTTAGGCGTGGATTTTTTAAACATTTCTTCTCCTAACCTAGCACAGTTTTAGGCGTGGATTTTTTAAACATTTCTTCTCCTAACCTAGCACAGTTTTAGGCGTGGATTTTTTAAACATTTCTTCTCCTAACCTAGCACAGTTTTAGGCGTGGATTTTTTAAACATTTCTTCTCCTAACCTAGCACAGTTTTAGGCGTGGATTTTTTAAACATTTCTTCTCCTAACCTAGCACAGTTTTAGGCGTGGATTTTTTAAACATTTCTTCTCCTAACCTAGCACAGTTTTAGGCGTGGATTTTTTAAACATTTCTTCTCCTAACCTAGCACAGTTTTAGGCGTGGATTTTTTAAAGACATTTTTTTCCCAGACTAACAGAGATTTTTGCTATTTTTGCTAGAAATTACTCTCTTTTAGGTCAAGAACAACGAATTTTCCCATTATCGAAATTATCTTTTGTTTTCTTTTGTGTTTTTGTGACAATAGAAAACAAAAGAAAAAATATGTCTTTAATAATTTCCCTTTCAATATGACCTTGATTACCATGAATAAATCTCCCACAAACACCGACTAATCCTTTCGTTATAAGGATATGCAAACAATTACATTTGGTAAACAACATGGCATTCGATTTTTTTTGCTTCTCCTTAGTTTCCGATTCCTTACAAAGATGTCCTTATTTTTAGTCATTTTTTAAATATATATGTATGTGTGTATGTGCATTTTAAGACCACTTTATGGAACTGGGTCAATTACCAAGAAAATGGACAGAGAAAAGGAAAACAAGAAGAAAGAGGAGAAAAGCTCTTTAAAAATTAATTTAATTAATTTTTGAGCTTGAATTTGTTGCGACGACGATGACAACAAACAACTCAGCACGCATAGACGACGTTCTTCAGGCTTAGCTGTCGACGACAGAAATCGTCGTCCGGTCAGGGCTGTGAAGAGGCTATAAACTATTTCCGTTCTTTCTTTTTCTCATCTCTGTTGCCCATAATTGCCATTGCAGCTTAAACGAAGTGGCGAACAAGAACAACAACAGCAAAAGCAAACAGTTAATTATCATAAAGATAACGGTTAATATAAAACCTACAGTTTATGTGGTATCTTTATTATGAAAAGAGAGAGAGGGAGATGAAGAGAAAAAACAAAACAAAATGACAACAAGAACAATGATGATGGTGATGATGATGACGTCGTAAAGGCTTCAAATGCTAAAAGTCATATTAAATGGCGGTTTGTGGTGGGTAATAGGGTCTAACCGATAAAAAAAAATAAAGCATAATTCTAGGCAAGGATTTTTAAGAATATTTTTTCAAAGACTGGCCATAGGCGTTGATTTTTTGAAAATATTTTTTTCAAAGCAATGCTTAAGGCGTGGATTTTTATACCCTATACAACTATGTTGTCAGGGTATTATAGCTTTGTGCAGCCCCATGAGTTTGTAACGCCGCGAAATATTGGTCCTAGACCCACCTTTAAGTATACCGATCGTCATATCTCAACTAGCTAAGTCGATCTAGACATGTGTGTCCTTCCGTCCGTCAGTCCATTATAATTTGTAAACACGATACAGGCCACAGTTATGGACCAATCTTCACGAAATTTTGCATGTAGAATGGGTTCTGGCTAATGAAGACCCCTATTGTTTCTGGTAAATATCGGTTAATATTTAGGACCAAATACTATTTTTTCGGTTTTTCTGGTCGCTCCAGAGGCCGCAATTATGAAAATTACATGGAGAAGGGGATCGGACCAAAGAATAAGCATGCCTTTTTGATAAAGATCGGTCAATATTTAGCGGGTCAAATGGACCCTGACTTTTGTGTGAAAAATTACAAAATTTGGATTCTATGGCGTATATATTTAATCCTAAAGAACATAGACCTGAAGAGTAGATAGTATATCCAAGAGGAGTGGCTGACCTTTAAATTGATACCAATTATATTGTCGTATGTTCTCGGATGTGGGAATTACCCTCAAATATTTAGAGGTGCTTACGTATTCCGATATTATTTAGTAACCCATTACCACACTAGAGTGCGGATATATAACGCTGATCAATTTGAAATTTTCCATGGGTTCCAGTTATAACAGGGCTTATAATTTTCGGTGATGATCAGATAATAATTTTGGGATGAAGTGGACCGAAAACTTAATTTTTTTGCAAATTTTCGAATCGATCTATAGGCAAAACTGTGGCCTACCATACAACCCACGCTGAATTCAATCTGGACAAGTAGTAGGAAGGGCTGTACTGATATTAGTAATATTCGGAAAATATGTTAGTGTATGGAAGGTGTGCTCTTGACCTCAAATCGGGCAAGAGTGTGCATATGTCACCAAATATATCCCAGGCTCGGAATAAACTTCCTTAGAAAGTTAGTACTCCGTCGTAGTTGTGTATTTAAATGGTGCACCAAAGTCCCTATATATCTTTAGATTTGCACGAAATTTGGTATAGCGCACTGAATTGAGTCTAGAATTACATATGTTAAGTTTCGTGAAAATCGGTTTAGACTTAGATATAGGTCCCACATATATATTTTAGTCCGATTTTATGTAAATAGTGCACCAACGTCCCTATATATTCTCCGATTTTCACGAAATTTGGCATGGTGTACTAAAGTAGGTCTATAATGATGTGTGTTAAGTTTCAAGAATATCGGCTCAGATATAGATATGAGTCCCATTTATTTTAGTCCGATTTTAGGTAAATGGTGCTAACTCCTAATGTTTGTCCGATTGACACGAAATTTTGCACACCGTACTATATATATTTCGAACGGTTGTCTGATTGAGATTATACTTTTAACAGTGCGGCATACTGAGTCGCGTGTATCAAATATGCTATAAATCGATTTCCGATTGAAATTAAATTTAGCATAGGTTGCAGAATGGTGTATGTTTCTTCGAGGGAACATTGACATGAAATTCTTAGGATACATATGTACAATATACATAAAGTGGTAAAGGGTATCATATAGTCGGCCCAGTCCGACTTTACTACTTTCCTTACTGGTTTTATGTTTGCATCGTTCCTCCCTACTATACACACTCACATAAATTAACCAAGGTCTCTTAAATCCCTTGAATAGTAGTAAATATTTTTTGAATGTATTTCTCATTCTTCCGCACACACATACATACATATATATCTTTATTCGTATATATGTATGTTCGTACAAATTTATATGCCAACTTATATCGTAAATTTCCCTTTTTTATGCTGATATTTTGGTTAGTTTCATTCGACCAAGCCTTAAAATTAATTTAAGTTCCGTTTTTTGGGCTCATATCCTGGGGTGGTTGGGTAATTTCATGTAATCTTATATCCACAATCAAGATAAAAACTAGAGTAGAGAATTTAATGCAAAATAATTGTTGCCATCAACAACAACAACAGCAGCACCCTGTCATCATCACCAACACCACCCATAATGGAGACCATGAATATTCAACAGCAGCAGCATCCGTTAACATTGTCAACACCATTGTCATCGTCAACGCTACCACCAACACCATGGTCACCGTCATCGTCGTCGGTAATATCATTATCATATTTCTACTACATTAGATTATGGCGACGACACCATCCATGCATTCCATCCACCATATAATGACCATTTTCCGTTTATAGTAACAATTATAAGGCTCAAGTGGAAAATATATCGTGGATGGGAATTTGATGTTGTGGTTGGAAAAATGAGAAGGACATAATTCACATAATGAATATGATATGTTCAAGGTGATTGTTAATTTTTTTTTTTTTTTTTTTTTTTTTTTGAATTGTTTAAAGGTAATGTTGTTATTTAAATCAAGTTCGAAATTGGCTACAGGAGTTAGAAAGGAAACTTTCTGCCCTAGCCAAGAAGAGGGAGACTTCCTTGTAGAAGGAGACTTCCTTAGAGAAATAGGCAAAGGCTGTGAAGGGTATATTTTCATAGATATCATTATGATATATTTTTGGAAAGTTGGCCTTGTGATTCCAACCATCCATCAATCGAAAATGAGGCTGTGGAATGAAAAAATAAACCGATTTCTGGAAAATCTAATTTCCAAATAATTCTCCAATTGTATTTATATGCGAT